GAGGGTGCAACTGGTGAGGTGGCAGCAACATGAGCCTGTGTTTTTACCTCTTGTTTGCGTGTAGGACGGGGGGAAACTGAATATTTGGGTACTATCCACAAAAGACAGAACAATGAAAAAGAACATGACCTTGAACATTACACCACTAGCAGCGACCAAGAAAGGGTTTTGGAGCAGGCCGGGATGAATTGTTGGTGAAGCGAGGATATGAGGGTTGCCGAGTCTGAAAATTGCTTACTGGTCGAGTTTGAGTGGGATGAGCTGTAGCTGGAAACGTGGTAGGAGGAGTTGCACGGTGCAGAGCAAGTTCTTTGTTAATTAACTTTTCATGCAACTCTTCAAACGAGATGATGGGTCACGTCCATTAACATCATCAATAACAGATTGGTAATCAGAATCCAAACCATCAAGAATTTTGTCTGTGATATCTTCAGGTTCCATGGGTTTGCCTAAAAGGGCAAGTTCATCAACAACTCTCTTGATTTGGTGTATGTACTCGGTAATTGTGGAGCCGCCTTTGATGATATTCTTGAGTTGATCCTTGAGCTGCTTTATATGACCACGGGTGGGGCGAGCATAAGTATTTGCTATGATATTCCATGCGTCGTGAGAAGTTTGGGCACTTGAAATGAGAGGCCCGACAGCTGAGGACAAAGTACCAGCTATAGCGCCAAAAATGAGTTTATCTTGGCGTATCCAAGTGGAATAAGCAGGATTTGGAAGTACGCGATCTTGCACAGTGATAGTAGCAGTTGGGATGGGTTTACTGCCATCAATAAAATGTTTAAGATCATAGCCAATAAGAATGGCTTTGAGCTGAATTTTCCATGTGAGATAGTTGGAGGAAGTGAGTTTTTAGATGTTATGAAATGTAACCACAATTAGTGGTTGGCTAGGTTCAAGATTATTAGGAATGGTATTAGCACCTTCAACATTAGGTACCGGATTAACTGGAGTGGGGGAGACAGTAGGTTGAGTATTTGCATCATTAGCAGCCATTGAAAATAGAACTTAGGGTGAAGGGGAAAAATATATAGTTTAAATCGAATAGCTCTTGATACCATGTAGATTGGTAAAGAAGTGATGAATTTACATTATCCAGAGGAGATATTTATACTACAAAGGTGAAACTAAATCTACTAAACTCAAGGTAACTACAACAATAAATACGAAACAAACTTAACAAACTAATCACAACCAAGCACTATATTATCTCTTAGTATGCTATTAGTGTTATGTTTATCGTAATTCTAATGATATAATATATGATTGATGATATTTTCTGGGTGTTCCTTGCTCATTTGTGCCACGGTGTAACAAACCTAGGCGTGTTGATGTATATTATTCAAGTTGGTGCATTCGTCCAGGTAGGTTATGACTCAGCCATTAAGTATCTGTATATTTATAGCATTGTCTATTCTACTGTCTAACACGAAACTTTGTAATATAACAGCTGTTGGTTTTTTTTTTTTTTTTTTTTTTTTTGAGCTGTTGGTTTTTGTTCTCTGAAATCTCAACTTTTTTTAAAAAAATTTTTTTTGTAATTCATACAGTTAGCTATTTTTTTTATTCATATATTTATAACAACAATAAATTTGAGTCTGAAATAATGGGCTTGGTTCTGAATGACCACATAAATCATTAAAGTAACTAGCGGCAATTAATATCGTGCACAATGTGCGCCCTGGTGTAAAACGATGTCGTTTTATATTTTTTTTTTAGGAAATTTCGCTTTCTGTATCTGCTATTAACTTTTTAAAAAAAAAACTCATGTTTTGAAAATGTACATAATCGCATAACAGAATGTACATAATTATATAACAGAATGTACATAATGGAATAACATAATATACATAATTATATACCAGAATACACATACACTCTGTCGCGTCAACTTCCCACACAATTTAAAAAAATGTCGTTTTGGGAAGCGCGAAGCGGACATTGCTATATGCACCGTGGTGCACGATATACGATTGGTGACGACAAATTATTGTATGGACCATGGTCCACGTAATGTTATGTGAACCATAACAAAAAGTATATTTTTAATATGTTAAATGTACATTATTTTTGTACTGAATGTACATTATATAATATAATGTACACTTAGAATAAAAATAGTGTACATCCCCTGAATACAATGTACATTATTTTTGTACTGAATGTATATTATTTTACAATAGACAAAATATGGTTCATACAATTTGTGTGGACCATAATGATTGATTGGTGACTAGCTGGGCACGCGCATTGCGCGTAGTGCAAGGCCCAATACAAATTTAAAAGTCATTTATCGCTCTGCCACTACACTCGGCCCATCTATAGCTGTGGCTAAAGCAAGAGTTGCTACCTCTGTGTGGTCTGTTAGCCTGCTGATTTTCCAACTTCTACAGCACTCACTGTAATTTAAGGAGTGACTATTCAGAACACAGATTAAATTTCTCGTAAATGAATTCGTGCAATGAGTGGACTTTTTTCATATATAAATTTTGGTAGATGATAGCATGGCACTCTTCTGCTGCTTATTCATATAGGCATATTGCAATAGTTGATTTTGCTAGTGAAATTACAGGTTCTGATTAGTGGCGAATCTAGAAAATTATTTTAGTGGGCCGAATATTAAATGACGTTAGGAATGTGAATGACAAAATATCAAACAATCATAATAAGGTTAAAATACAAAATACATTATAAATTACAATATATTTATGAGAAAATATGAAACATAATCAATTAGATAAAATAATTTGAATAACAATATATTCATAAATACTTTTAAATTTTAATTTCTTTTAGTTAAATCGATTTTTCTAAATTAATTCGAATACAATAAAGTATATTATAAACTTGTATACTATATTAATTAAATGATTTATAAAAATAAGACTAAAAGAGCATTTAATTTGTTAATTAAATGATTCATAAAAAGTAGACTAAAAATATTTAATTTATCTTGTGAAGAAATAAAAGAGAGAAGATAATTAAAAGTGTTGCTAATGAGGTTTGAACTCGTGATAAGCCTTTTATAACATAAAATTTGGAATTCAACCAACTAAGCTACTCAAACTACTAATGTTTTCAACATAAATATACATTTTATATAATATTTCATGTTATATATGTATACATAACATACATATATATAAAAGGGAAGGGTGGGCCCACTGCACCCACACTGGGTCCGCCCCTGGTTCTGATGAAGCGTGCACAGGATGTAGCCACATATAAATATGTTACCACAGACCTTTTTTTTTTGTTTTGTTCTGTCCAAAAAATCCATCTTGTAAAGAGAAATATTACAAAAAAAAAAAAAAAAAAAAAAAAAAAAAAAAAAAAAACTTTATTTCCAATTGTTAAAAAAAAAAAAAAAAAAAACCTTACCCAATTTTGTAATCGACCTTCTTCCAGACTGGTAGAAGGTAGCGACTCCCTTCTTTCAGCATGGAAGAAGGCAATAGCTGCCTTCATGAAAGGCGGTCGGGAGGGAGGCCGTAGCAATTCAAGATAAATGAGAGCATGAAATGAGCAACAGATAAATATGTTTAATTAAAGTATCGACAAAAATATTTTATACAAAAAGGACGATAAAACTCAACAAATATGGTAAATGAGAGGCAAGTAGAAAATCATAAGCAATTAAAGAAAAATGAGAACAGAAAATGGCCACAACTTTCACAAGGAGAAAACGAAAATAAAACGAAGAGAAATGAAACTTATGTGCAATAGTCCGCTATATATAAGAAAAAGTGAGAGCTTATGCAAGGGATAAATCAACCCACGAATTAGCTAACAACTCCCCTCAAATGTTCATAACTGACACCAATAATGAAAGCAAAATAAGTCTTCCAAAGGACAATTGAAGTAAAGGGAAAATCTAAAAAATTGGATAAAAATGACATCTAAAAATAATAAAGAATTAAAGTAGTTGAATGAAATCCATAATTCTGACATCAATAAAATATGATAAATAGTAAAGGGTTAATTCCACCAAAGGTCTTTTGTCATTGGTGGAAATTGCAAATTTGGTTCCAGACTATCGTTTTTGTCATTTAACATTCCAGGACTATTATTTTTGGACACTTTTAGTTCTTCTCATTATTTTTTCTATTTTTAGTAAGAGAATTTTTGTCTTTTCATATCTTTCATTTGTTATTTTTCCGGTTTCAATCGGTTTAATTGGTTTAGAACTTTACTAAAAATCGGTTGAAAAGTATGGTTACTAAAAATCAGAGATTAAGGAAAGTTCTAAATCGATTAAACCGGTTGAAACCCGAAAAATAACAAAAGAAAAATATGAAAAGACAAAAAAGTCTTTACTAAAAATAGGAAAAGTTATGAGAAGGACTAAAAGTGTCCAAAAAAATAATAGTCTGGGATGTTAAATGACAAAAACGATAGTTTTGGACTAAATTTGGAATTGTCACCAAAAACAAGGGACCTCTGGTGGAATTAACTCTTTTATTTTTTTGTTATTAATCGGGGGTTATTTGGTAATTTGGGTGTGCATTTAAACTTTATTTAATATTATTTTAAGATAGTGTGCATGATTTTAGGGATTAGTTAGCCATTAACATTCCTAATTTACCCCTAATCTTGATTAATCACCCAAAAACATACAAAAACAGGGAAGAAAATTTTTAAAAATCTTTTATTTCAAGTCATTGTTCTTCACATTTTAATGGATTAGACTCATGGGAATGAATGGACTGATAAAATATATATATATATATATATATATGAGGACCTATCCTTAGGTGACGTGAAGACTTATCTAATCCTTTCATTTAAATAAGCTCATAACTGTGATTTAATTATATACAATGGATATGAACATTTTGATATTTATATTACCTTATTCCTACTTTCAATTCTCATGAATACCAAATTGAATTTGAAATTCTCAATAATTCTACCAAACACTGAAATTTAAATTCTCACAATAATCATCTCCATGAAATTGTAATTTCTTTACCCCTAATTCCTCATTGCAACCAAACGACCAGTGAAAGTATTTAAAGTTCCATAAAAGTCTTGAAAATACACCATTACACCCCCTTAGTATATTTTTAACTGCACAAGTAAAAAGCTACAACGCTCACTAACTCACTGCTCATCAAACGTATAAGTTATGATTAAAAAGTTATACAACTCTTTTATACGTGAAGGAGATAAACAACTTACTACCAGTTGAAAGCTAGAAGTAAAGCATACAAATTCAGGTTGAATCTTAAGGCCAGTTTGGTCCATTGTGTAAAGGGCCATCGTCTCCTTGTCATCCAACCACTCCAAAAAGGAACCTATATGATCGTTAAACAATGCTGGCTGAATCTGCGGTGACCTATAGCTTACAACTAACCGTGAAGGTGCATAAACAAGCCACACAACTGAGCTATTCCTTCGGTTTTCCATATTTGCACTCGACTTCTTCCCCCTCGATAAGCCTCTCAACTGCATCCGTGGGAAGGCCAATCAGTTCCAAGGTCTTCTCCCAAACTTTGTAAGAAGTTTCAAGGTTGTGTGATTCTTCGGAGGGATTCATTGGACGGCAATCTTGAGAAAGGTAAGCGCAGACTGGCCAATCATCCGCTTTCAACGTCTCACAGTACTCTGGAACTTGAGGATCAGTGGCTGCAAAAAGTGTACTTCTAGAACCTGCAGCAGTCATTTATAATGACCAGGTTAGTGATCAATTTGTGATGAAACGACATTAGTCCTAGAACCAAATTGTAGATTTGGGCAGGAAACCGACTATATGAAAGAAATTGCTGAAGGACTGCACAAATGTCCAATCAATCAATCAATATATATATATATATATATATATATATATATATGGGGGATGGGGGGGAAGCAGGATCAAATGAGAACAAGGTCCTCCAATAAAAAGTGAGGACTGATCTTAACCGTCCATCAGGGTTCATTAATGACGAATGGTTTTAGTAAAAAAAATGCGAGGTTAATTTTCTAATTATTGAAAACTTTTAAGAGCAGGGTTCTTTTTTATAATTATTACAAACTTGAAAATTTAGTTATGGTAAGATCTTAGCCTTTGATTTCTCAAGATAGATGGTGTGGATGTGTCCACGCTTTTTAGAGGGAGAGATGTTCTCACTTGAACCCTCCCCTATATTTATATATAAAGTACTGCAGAAAATTAGGCAGATTTGAGTTACCTTCCTCAGGATTGAATATAAGATATGGTATCAAACGATATGCACCTTGAATGAACCTAGGAAGATCTCTTGCCTGCATTATGAGTAAAAATCATGAATTATATTATGTAATGAATTGAAATACTACATTTGCAACAATACTGTAAATAAGAGAAACACTGAATCGAAAACAATGGAAGACATAACAAAACATAAAAACAAAAATAAAAAAACGGAATAGAATAATCTGCTGCATTATTATTTAATCATATTTGCAAAAATAAATATACAGATTACTAGATTAGGTGGAGGCAGTGCAAATAAATATTCAAATTTGGCAAATACAATTTCATCTTATTTTTCATTTTGAGTATTATCATTCTCTAGGATACAAAATGCTTCTGTTTTTACTTTTTCAATATTCGGTTAATGGATTGAGAATAAATTAAGCTAAACTCATAGCCAGCTCCTGATATGTTTCAGTAGTTTGGCTACACATCACGGGTCTGTGGTTAACAAAAGAAGAAGAAGCTGATGGATTACCTATGGTGGCGGATAATAGTGCGAGAGAGAAGAAGTTGGGGAAGCGACTTCCTTTTGATTTTATTCAATACCAACTTACCAAGACAAACTAATACTCTCCCTATATATATAGGAGTTACAACTAAAGATACAAGGGAATAATATTCTAAAATCTACTGAACTAAATATAAAGGCAATCCTTAATAAAAGGAAATAACATAACTAAACTAGTAAAGAAACAATATAACTAAATTGATTCTTAAGCAGTGTGAATGATACAATACAGATTCTGCTGCCCCTTAAGAATCAATTTAGTTATATTGTTTCCTTTACTAGTTTAGTTATGTTATTTTCTTTTTATTAAAAATTGCCTTCATATTTAGTTTAGCAGTTTTTAGAATATTATTTCCTAATATCTTTGATTGTACCTCCTATATATATGAGAGAATATTAATTTGTCTGGTCAAGTTGGAAATTGAATAAAATCAAAAGGAAGTTTCTTCCTCCAACTTCTCCTCTCTTATTCTATATTCAGCCACCATAGGTAAACCTTCTTCTTCCGTTAACCATAGACCCGTGACGCGTAGTCTAACTACTGAAACATATCATTTGGTTCCTGTTGCCGGGAACATGGGTACTGATTTGAACATCGAATCAGCCATCAAAGCTTTGCAGAAATCTGTCAAAGCTTTGGAATTACAGCATGACAAAATTGAAAATGTGACAACTACTGTCGCCTCCTTATCTGCATCCTCTCACACCCAGGCAGCTTCTCTTGCCAGATTGGAGACACTGGTCCAACAGCTACTAACCAGCCATGGTAAACAACCTGTCCAGGAGGAGAGCTCCGTTACTGCCCTTCAAATTGAAGGGATATCTACTACGGTAGACATAGGGGATCACTCCTACGTTTTTCCCGGTATCCCAAAGTCGAATTCCCTTTGTTTTCAGGCGAGGAAGACCTCAAGACCCTATGGTTTGGCTACTTCGTTGTGAGTCTTCGTTTCACCATGCTGACACACCAGACCATGAACGTGTTCCTCTAGCAGCACACCACATGATTGGCAAGGCCCAACTGTGGTACCATTCTGAAACTGCGGTGTCACCATTTGCTTCCTGGGCATTGTTTAAGGAAGAGTGTTGTTTGAGTTTTGGGCCACCTCGAAGCATTAATCCACTAGGTGAACTGAAGCTGCTCTTTCAGACCGGCAGGCATGTTGATGATTATGTCAAGGACTTTCGAGCTCACCTTGCACGTGCAGGCACAGTACTCCCAGCCCAACGGGTTGATCTTTTTACCGGTGGTCTGGACGAGGTACTTCGGATTGATGTAGAAAGGACCAAGCCTAGTTCTCTCAACGAAGCCATTAATACAGCCCGTGACTTCTATCGGAAATGTCACATCTTAGGCCTTCTACCTGCCAAAACGGCAAACAATGACCCACACCCTGCTGCACCCCTTCCCTCTGCCCGTGTCTCACTAACCCCACAACAACCAATCAACCACACCAAATTACCTCGACCTCCGTATAAATTCTTATCCCCAGCGGAAAAGGCTGAGAGGGATGCCAAAAAATTGTGTTACAATTGTGATGAACGATTTTTTCCAGGTCATAAATGCCGCCACCTTTCTATGTTGTGGACATTAGAGGATGGTGAAGAACCCCCTGCTTGGCTTGCATCCACAGAGTTGAACGCATGTGATGGAATCACCTGAATTCACCTTGAGCGTTGTCACCTGCTTCAAGCTTGATCTCCAGGAGGGGTGTAATGATACAATACAGATTCTGCTGCCCCTTAAGAATCAATTTAGTTATATTGTTTCCTTTACTAGTTTAGTTATGTTGTTTTCTTTTTATTAAAAATTGCCTTCATATTTAGTTTAGCAGTTTTTAGAATATTATTTCCTAATATCTTTGATTGTACCTCCTATATATATGGGAGAATATTAATTTGTCTGGTCAAGTTGGAAATTGAATAAAATCAAAAGGAAGTTTCTTCCTCCAACTTCTCCTCTCTTATTCTATATTCAGCCACCATAGGTAAACCTTCTTCATCTTCCGTTAACCATAGACCCGTGACGCGTAGTTTAACTACTGAAACATATCAGTGAACAAGTTGGGCAGTAAGATATGTATTGTATCATTACACCCCTCCTAGAGATCAAGCTTGTCCTCAAGCTTGAAGCAACTGACAATGTTCAAGTTGAATTTAGGTGATTCCATCGCCTGTGTTCATCTCCGTGGATGCAAGCCAAGCAGGCGGTTCCTCGCCATCCTCTAATGTCCACAACATAAAAAGGTGGCGGCATTTATGACCCGGAAAAAATCGCTCATCGCAATTATAACACAATTTTTTGGCGCCCCTCTCGGCCTTTTCTACTGGAGAGAAGAATTTATACGGAGGTCGAGGTGAATTGGTGTGGTTGGTTGGTTGTTGTGGGGGTAGTGAGACACGGGCAGAGGGAAGGTGTGCAGCAGGGTGTGGGTCATTGTTTGTTGTTTTGGCAGGCAGAATGCCTAAGATGTGACATTTCCGATAAAAGTCAGAGGCTGTATTAATGACTTCGTTTATAGAACTAGGCTTAGGCTCTGTTTGGTAAAAAATTGGCCTATAGGCCAATTTTGGCTTATTTGACCATTATTAATTGTTTGATTTAGTTAAAATATCAATAGAAATATTTGGTTAATTAGCTTTTTGCAACTTCAAAAGGCTAAAATTCAAAAAGCTACTCTAAGCAACTTTTTCAATTAGCTTTTTGAGAAAAGAAATTGTACCAAACAGATATCAGCTAACAGCTAATTTACCAAACACTTTTCTACACTCATCTAATGTTATCAACTATTTATACCCTCTAATTAACACAATCAGCTAACAACAAACAGCTATCAGCTAACAGCCATTTTACCAAACAGGGCCTTAGTCTTTTCTACATCAATTCGAAGTACCTCGTCCAGACCACCGGTAAAAAGATCAACACGTTGGGCTGGGAGTACTGTGCTTGCACGTGCAAGGCCTTGACATAATCACCAACGTGTCTGCCGGTCTGAAAGAGCAGCTTCAGTTCGCCTAGTGGATTAATGCTCCGAGGTGGCCCAAAACTCAAACAACACTCTTCTTTAAACTATGCCCAAGAAGCAAATGGTGACACCGCAGTTTCAGAATGGTACCACAGTTGGGCGTCACCAATCATGTGGAATGCTGCCAAAGGAACACGTTCGTGGTCCGGTGTGTCAGCATGGCGAAACGAAGACTCACAACGAAGTAGCCAAACCATAGGGTCTTCCTCGCCTGAAAACAAAAGGGAATTCGACCTTGGGATACCGGGAAAAACGATAGGAGTGATCCCTTATGTCTGCCATAGTAGATATCCCTTCCGTGTGAATGGTGGTAACGGACTCCTCCTCCTGAACTGGTTGTTTACTGAGGCTGGTGAGTAGCTGTTGGACCAGTTTCTCCAAGTTGGCAAGAGAAGCTGTAATTCTCAATTTTGTCATGCTGTAATTACAAAGCTTTGACAGATTTCTGCAAAGCTTTGATGGCTGATTCGATGTTCAAATCAGTACCCATGACGCCGGCAACGGGAACTAAATGATATGTTTCAGTAGTTTGGCTACGCGTCACAGGTCTGTGGTTAACAAAATTAGAAGATGGATTACCTATGGTGGCGGATAATAGTGCGAGAGAGAAGAAGTTGGGGAAGAGACTTCCTTTTAATTTTATTCAATACCAACTTACCAAGACAAACTAATACTCTCCCTATATATAGGAGTTACAACTAAAGATGTAAGGGAATAATATTCTAAAATCGGCTGAACTAAATATAAAGGCAATCCTTAATAAAAGGAAACAACATAACTAAACTAGTAAAGGAAACAATATAACTAAATTGATTCTTAAGCAGTGTGAACAAGTTGGGCAGCAGAATCTGTATTGTATCAGCTCCTGCCTACAAATCCATCACCAAAGTCAAAAACAAATTGTTCAATGCCGGAAGGCATTTTATAATTTGCTTGAGTTTGCTTTCCCTTCCAGGTATAAAAAAATAAATAAAGTCTAAATATGCACAAGGGAGAAATAAAACCAAGCACCTAGATAATTGATCTAGTTAGGGTTACTCAATGACTACAAATGTAAAATAGCAGAAGGGATCAACAGGAAGCAAAAAACGCATCGTTTAGAAACTTACAACATTGGTTTGAACAATTCCAGGAGAAACACATATTACATTTATACCAGCTTCAGCTGGCAGTCTCTTCTGAAGCATGCTACTGTACATAACCTGCGATTTTAATACCAGAAATAAGTGTAAGATCTGGAACCTGGAACCTTATCAAAATATTTTTGATAGGCATTATCTTGAATCATTAATTATAAAGAGTTCATATATGGAGCAATGCCTTCCAGGAAAAGATGACCATGGCAATCACCAATAACATGACAGAACTAAACAATAAAAACATAAAGTTTCAGTACCAGAACAAGCTTAAGATCTTGAATTCATTTAAAGCTCTTAGACATGGGTGCTTTTGAAATTTGAATTATAAACAGATGATAGCGCATGTTAAAAATCCTTCTTTAAAGAAAATTTTAGAAAGAGTACAGATGATAGCACATGTTACCTTACCTTGTTGACAAAAGTTTAGAAAGAGGACATTTTCTTTATATAATTTAAGCCAGATTGCACAAATGGACAGAAAATAACCAAAAGGGTCAGGAAGTACAGACTAAAAAAATCAAGTCTCAAAATACATGCCTGCGCAAGCTTACTGCCTGAATATCCCACTAAACTTGCGTACTTTCTCTTCCCAGACACAACATTCATATCCTCTGGATCAACAAATCCAACATAGTGTATCTATTAAAAAAGAAAGATTAACTGAATTTGGTCAGGTGGAGAATTAACAACAATAGGAAAAATAAAATGCAGGCATAGGAAGACAACTAAACATAAGTCATTGATATACAACTACAATTACAATAAAATAAAAATACAAAATTTCACACACTGTTTTCCAATAGTAAATTACACTGTAATAACAAAGAAGTCTATGTTCAGTTATTCACTTATTCTACGACAATAGTAAACTCTTTTTGTGAATTTCATTGCAGTTTCCTGAAAACATGTCATTTCACATTGAGAGGTCAGAAGCTAGATTCCGTTACTGCTGCTACAGTCATTTAAGGAAACTACACATGAAGATGGACTCAATCACTTTATCAAAGAGAAGTTGGCTTATTTGTCCAGACATCCAGTCATCCGTGTTATCTGATAAGGATAGGCCATAAAATTCAGTGGAAAGCTAAGACTGGTCTCATAAAAAAATATTTGGGGTCAAATTCCACTTGTCTAGTTAATAGGGTGCTGACGATCTTATTTGTTAAAGAAAAGGTTCATTGTAAGAGAGAAAAGTATTCCTATTTCCTTGCTTTTAATCTGATTAGTACAACAGACATATATACATTAAAATGTCCTCTAAGCTACCCTAACTACATAAGTCTGAACATATCAAATAGCCCTTCATATTTCTTTACAATTTTTCTTAAAAGTCCCTTGGGACTTCCTCACATTTTTCTCAACATTATTTAACTACTAACTAGTTTCCTTGAAAATTGGCATCAATAATTTACTTGATTCATTGATATATTAGGTCGAATAAATGTATATTTTACCTTCTGGTTAAGGAGATATAGATTATATCCTATATTGATATTTTCCTAGCCGTTTAAAAAGGATGTAAAGTTGAGTGGAGCACCATTCACAATTCGACCTGATTTCTGTTAACGTTGTAGTTAGCAGGGAGTATGTAATCTGAAGTAAAATTATGTATTGCTCTTAATTTTAGCTATAGTTTATCAGGATCAATAGGATCCACCAATAGTTTCAAATTGAATAATAGAACGTAAGGGCTTTGTGAAGAACATTCACTTTTAATATTATGTATTCCTAGCATCTCCTTGTTATGGCCCTAGTGTCATATATTCCATAGTTAGATTTGAGTGTTCCAGATATTCTGAGTTCAACAAAGAATAATTCCCATAGAAAATTATGCAGTATCATTGCTATATTCTTTAAAAAGCAAAACCATCTCAAAGGAAGTTAAACATTCTTCCTTCCTGGATCCTTATGTTTCAATTTTTCACAACTACTAATTCTTTTATTCTTTCTAGATGTAAGAAACTGCATGTTGATAACTATGCTTCTAAGAAAGCAACATTGACCAAGGACCCCAAAACAAAATTTGAATAAGAAGAAAGGTCTATGTAAAGTGTCTTCTACACAAATTGGGGATGAGTATCATCCCTGATAAGTCACATTAACACAAACACCCCGTTGCTAATAATGTTTTCTGTTAGTCCATGAAAGAATCATAGTTATCTAGCAATCTTCATTTCATACATATCAAGAAATAAATTTCTTTTGGACTGACAAGGCTATAAAATACAATGTCAAATGAAAAAAAAAAAATGAATAATAATTGATAAGTAAATGAATATATCCCATTTATAAAACAGTGCATATCTTACTGGAACTTACAATGGAGTTCACATTGATGATTCTGCTTGGCGAACCTCTTATAAGGGATGGTAAAAGCAATATGGAAAGCAATGCTGGAGCAAGATGATTCACTTGCATGTGTTCCTCATAACCATCCTTTGTGAATTTCTGTGGTTCTAAAGAAAATAATAACATAACCAAATAATTAACCTGGGAAGGTAGAGATATGAATTATAAAAGCATGTCCATTTTCTTCCAAATCCATCAAAGCACAAGACAGAAATGCAATGACAACCAAATTGCTCATGAAAAGGAAAATGCAGAGGATCAAAAGCACCTCTAATACAGTTCTCCAGAAAACAATAAAAATTAAGACTATTAAGTAGAAGAAAAGGAAAGCAAGATAGATGAAAAGGCTAAAAAAGTTGAATATGACAACGACAAATGATCAAAATAACTCTACGTTTTAAAGTAATCTTTGATGTGTGTGTGTGTGTAATAATTAAATATATATTTCACAGTTCCACTTAGTCAAATGTTTGGCATAGGGGAATACTAACCACCAATAGAAAATATCCCAGCATTGTTAATGAGGACATGTAATGGTCCTGCACGTGCATTCCATGCATCTGCAAATCTCACAACAGAATCCAAGGAGACAAGATCAAGTTCCATGACCTTGTAACATTGCAATCACAAAAGTTAGCATCCTTCAACTTAACACATAGCATTTCAAAATAAAAAATAAATATGAGGTTAGAGCACATGTATAGGATTTAATGGAACATTTCATTTAACATAATAGACAGTCTACTTCCAGTATGCAATCTCAAGTTCATATTATATACCTCAATATTGAGAGGAAGGCCCTTCCCTGCCCAATCCTCCTGCCACTTCTTTATCAATTCATTTGCAGCCTTTGTATTTCTGACTGCCATAACCACATGAGCCCCTGCTTCTGCCAATTGTCTGTGCAAAAATGAAAAACATCTTTGCATACATGTACCAATATGTATACTTTGCAAGTAAGAATAAAAGACTAAGGCTGGCAGGTACACAGGTTTATCTTGTCTTCATTCTTACATGAAGAGATGACTGAGAATACATTCATAGGGTCAAAAAGAAAGAGCATATGCATAGTTTCAAAGTTAATACTTCCTCTATCCCACTATCTTTGTCTTACTTTCTATATTGAGATGTCCCATTATCTGCATCCTATGAAAAGTTACTACATTAGTACATAGAACTTTCCTATTATATACCCTTCCATCATTGTTAAGTATGAAGTAAAGACTTAACATTCTTGGTGGATGCAAATTTAATATGCCCTATTGTCTAATAACACAACTTTCACAAATAGAATCCCTCTGCCAGACCTGAGGCCCTCAGCAATGAATCTTTACAGGTTACACTTACACCACCTTTCTTCATAAAACTGAATCCCATTCAATTTAAAATTTTGGGAAAAAGGTATTCATCCAGATTCGTTTAAGCTCTAAGGCATAGCCTATAATGCAAAAGACTCTAATTTCACCCTCCTTTTGCTGGAAGCATATATTAAAGCGCTGTTATCTGCTGTGATCAAACTATTCCCTTAGGGAATTAATACAATATTTTCACACACCTTAGTGTCATTTGATATATCCTACAGGGAACTTAGGCAGTGAATAAGCAATTGAGATTGTGTGTGGGTGTGAGCAAGGGTGATCATCACATAGTTCAGCTCAAACCTCTCCTAAAAACAAGAATCTGTAAAACAAGCTTATACATTAGCTAACAAATTTATTTTATATTTTTAAAAAAAATCATCATTCCTTTCGGCACCACTCTCGTTTATTACATACATTTTACTTCTTTGGACTGTCTAATAATATTAAAAAACGTTGACTTCGATCTTTAGTTTCATAGATCAAGTCATCAAGCATACGCAAGACAGTTTTTCCAATAGCATTGAACTGATCAATGGTTCAATAAGCGTTCTAAAACTAATCCCCATTTCCAACCAAGAGTTCGAATTGACATTGAAATGAAAGAGTGAGTGAGTACCTAGCGATTTCCCGGCCGATACCGCTGGTGGAGCCGGTGACGATACAGGTGAGATCATTGACTGGAGGGAGAGGCATAGGGTTCTCCAAGTGGCTTGCGGCTATCCTCTGGAACAGCAGCTCATAGACCACGAACAACAACCCCCTCAGCCACTCTATCCATCCCAGCGCCACCTTCTTCTTCGGCCGCACATCTTCGCTTCCACTACCCTCCTTTTTCTCCTTCGTCTCCGGCGCCATTCTCTTCTATCTCACTCTCTCTCTCACTCTCTCACTCTCTCACTATCTCTCTCTCTCTCTCTCTTCCCCCGGGAGTTCTACTTCGGCAGATTCCAGCAAGGCAGTTATAGGGCGATTTTCCATTTTTTTTCCCTTTTCTTTTAAAAACAAAAACAAATTAAACAATGAACCTTTCACTCATAAATGTAATACAAATGAAATGAAATGAAATGAAAAGAAAAGGGAGAAGAAAAGACAGTCACCCTCCACATCTAGAAAAGGATTCCTAACTAAATTAAGAATAAATTAAAAATGAAAGAAATTATAATTCAGTGAAAAAGAATAAAGTATGAATAAAATAAGAATTCGAATTACATTATTTAGTAAAGAAGAATGAGATTATTAAGGAATTAATACTATTTAGGGTTCTCCGAGTATAGACCCTGTTTGGTAAAAAATTGGTCTATAGGTCAATTTTGGCTTATTTGATCACTAAATTATTTGATTTAGTTAAAATATCAATATAAATGTTTGGTAATTAGCTTTTTGCAACTTCAAAAGGTTAAAATTCAAAAAGCTACTTCAAGCAACTTTTTCAATTAGCTTTTTGAGAAAAGAAATTATACCAAACAACTATCAGCTAACAGCTAATTTACCAAATACTTTTCTATAATCAGCCATTGTTATCAACTATTTATATCTTCTAATTAACACAATCAGCTAACAACCATTTTACCAAACAGGGACCAAACAGGGCCATAGTGATTTTGTCACCTTTAGTCATAAACTTTCAAATTACCACCCATGATCCTTCGACTTTCAAATTGTTACCGTCCGTAATCCAAATTAACCACCCATGGTCCTTCAACTTTCAAAATTTAACCAGTCGCGATGGTTAAAATTTGATACTTAAAGACCATGGGTGGTTAACTTGGATCACCAATAGTAACAATTTAAAAGTCGAAGGATCATGGCGGTAATTTGAAAGTTTAAGACTAAAGTAAAATCACTATTCTCGGAGAACTCTAGATGATATAAACTCTTAAGAATAGAAAAAGAAAAAGTGATATAAAAATTTAAAATATCTTTATATTATAATATTAATAATAATATTCAAGGCAATTTTTTTTTAAGGAAAATGACACTTTTTTTCCCTGAGTTATATACATATAGTACTTTTTCTCCCTAAATTATTTAAGTGGCTCTTTTTTCTCCTGAAATGTTAAATAGACATATTTACCCTTAAAATAAATATTTCATTTATTTTTTTCTCTAACAAATTATTACTATAATTTAGTTCAAACCAAACAGATACTATAGCAACCAAACCAAAATATTCCAATTACAATTTATAATCAAAATGTGATATTTATAGTTTATTAAAATCGCGAACCGGAATGGCCGGTTCATGTTCCGAACTGAAAAAATAAAATACATTTATTGTTAAATTTAGACTATTTTAAAATAAAAAATAAAATTTTAAAATAAATACGGTTCAAAATCGCGAACCGGATCCAGGACCACCGATTCACGGTTCATGATCCAATTTTTTTATTCTTAAATATAATAAATTGAAATCCAAATATTGGGTTCTAGATCTGAATCATATGATTCAGTTTTTTTATTCTTAAATATAATAAATTGAAATCCAAATATTGGGTTCTAGATCTGAATCATAACCGAAAATTTTTAATTCGATTGCTATAATGTCTGGTTCAGTTCGAACCATATCGTGGTAATCGCTACCTATACACAATAATTTGTTGGAGAAGTAAAATAAATAAAATGTTTACTTTAAGTGTAGAAATATCAATTTAATATATTAGGGGGGAAAAACCACCACTTTTAAAATAATTAAGGGGCTAATGTGCTTACATAAATAATTGAGGAGGAAAAAGTGCTATAAATATATAACTTGGGCGGAAAAAGTGCCATTTTCCCTTTTTTTATAGCAAAAACGAAGAACATTTCACTCACTATCCATCATAAATGCAATACAAATGAAATGAAAAGTGGAAGAAAAGACAGCCACCCTCACAATTATACCTAGAAAAGGATTCGTAACTAACATGGCAATCTTATCCATTAATTGGGTGTTTGATTTGAAAAAATGAATTAATGAGAAAATAAAATTGTAATTAAGTTGGAAAAGAATAAAGTGATAATAAAGTAAGAATTTAAATTATATTATTTAATAAGGAGTAATGGAAAGAAATAAGTGATATAAAAATTAAAATGTACTTGACTAATAATATTCAAGGGTGATTTTCCTTTTATTTTTTCTTTCTTTTTTTTTTTTTTTATCAAAAATGAAAACTTTTCCCTCACTATCATTCATAAATGTAATACAAATTAAATGAAAAGAGGAAGAAAAGACAGCCACCCTCCATAATTATACCTAGAAATGGATTTCTAACTAAACACGGCAATCTTATTCACAAAGAGGGTGTTAATGGAATGAAGGAATTAAAAGAGAAATGAATGGTAATTTGGTAGGGAAAGAAAAAATTATGAATAAAGTAGAAATTTGAATTACATTGTTTAGTAAGGAGGAATAGAATAATGGAATTAAAAATGAAAAAAGTGATATAAAAATTAAAATATCTTTGTGCAATATTATTAATAATAATATTCAAAAGTAAATATGTCTTCTTCTTCATTTTTTCTTTCCTCTGTATGAAATGCAATTTATATTACAACTTAAAAATATTACAATTCTTTGAATTGAGGGAATTATAATCCCCTTCAACTAAATTAAACACCTCATAATCGTTACGTTTAACAAAATAGATACAAATGTTAAAAAAATAACTGAACAACTCTTTTAATATCTTCCTTTATTTCCTGTAGATTCTTCACGTTTTTGGCTTTTTCTACACTTCTCTTCTCTAGCCATGTGATTCTCACGATGTGACTTCTAAAATCAAGACCCAATTGATATTTTTTATTATTAGTACATTTTATAATTAGTACATTTTATAATTTATAATTTGATTAATATATTTAGGCTAAAGTGTCATCTCGATCCTGAATCATTCCTGATTATTTATGTCGCACTATGATTATTATATCGGAGAAATGAGAAGCGAAAAATGCAGAGTAGGCCTATACGTTTAAGGAAAAAAAAAAATACGAAAAAATATTATAATACGAAGGTGAAAGAAGAAAATACAAAAAAAAAAAAAATAACTAATAAAAAATTCCATGTCAGCAATATTATTACCGGTAACCTGTAGAAAACCTGTAAAAAGTTATAGACGAAAAAAAATTATGATTTATGGCTCTAAATATCACTTATTAAATATCATAGTGCGACATGAATAATCAGGAATGGTTCATGGTGCGGGATGACACTTTTGTCATATATTTAATATTATATCTACTATCTAATAATCTACTATCTCATTAACAATATATTATCTGATTAACAATATTGATGTTTGGTTGTGTATGACCTTATAATGAGAATAAATATTTTTAAAATACGAAAACAAAAATTCAAGGCAATTGATTCTAATATAATGACATCTAAAACATCAATTTGAACAAAAAAATTTAAAATAAAAATCTAAAAGTACTAATTCAAACTTAAAAGTTAGATTACCAATAAGATGGGATGATACCTATTTTTAATTAGGAAACGAATCTAATTTGAAATCATCTTCTAACTCCTCTAATCATATTTAAACGTGTAGGGTTTACAAATCTAAGATTAATTGCAATATTTATGAATCTAATTTGAAATCATCTTCCAACTCCTCTAGTTGTATTTACAAGTGCAAGATTTACAAACCCGTACGAGCTTAGCTCAATGGTTTAGTGGGCAATATTTAGAAGAAGAAACCAAGATTCAAATCTTGACCACAATGTAGGAATTACATCCTCCACATGCTCTGACTGGTCAAAGTGTGGGCCGACTCAAACTAGCACACAGAGGACGCCAACCAATCCGGAAGACAACTGCAATTCTTCTCCGTTAATGGTGGCTTTTTGAATTATATACTCCTGTTGAATTAAGTGTAAGTTGTATAACTTATAGATGTGGTTTATGATTGTGATTTGTGAATTATATATTTCTCTCATTGATTTAATGTGGTTGCTATTAACAAATAGGTAAGTTCTTAACGCGTACACGAATTGCTTTTCACAACAACTGCACACCCAAGGAGTCACTCCAAAACCTTTCGTGTCCTATAAAGGATCTTACCTAATAGACTCATGGATTTTGAGATCCCGAACTCTACAATTGCTTCACCAAACTAACCAATGATCTTCTCAACCTTGGATGATTAAACAAGGCTAAGAACTAAACTTAGGAATCTAGCACTTGAGATAAGATATAAAAACAAATTTAGCTATGTAATATAAGTAGTAGTTCTATTTTTTTGGGATTTTTTGGTATGTGTATATGAATGTAAAGAACAAGATATTGGGGTATGCCTTCTTGGCTTGCAAACTAGCTTCTCAGTAGCTTACTTAGACTGAATGCTCCTCAGAAACAACCTAAACACTCAATGCAATTTTCATGCAAAGAAAAGATATATAGAAAATCTCACTTCATTTCAAAATAGTACAATCTGATTTGAACCATTCGGTTATTGGGGTATTTATAGGGAAAGTTTAGAGACTTAAATTGTTAAAATATTCTAGGTTTCTATCCCTTAACTATGAAGTAAATAATTAAAAATTATAACTTGCAAAATAATCATCCTTTGCGTATGAAATCTGATCTTGTAGGCTGATTTTTTTTTTCTTCCAAAGCTTTGTTATCTTTCACATCGGTTGTCATAAGCATTTAATGTTTTATCTCCTTGAGTAAGCTTGAGGTGTTTGCTTGAGCTACTTTGTTGATAACAAGCAAGGAGGTGAGTGAGCAGCTAGGTACTAAGGAAGTTGCATAAATAAGTAGGTGAATCACTAAGCAAGTACGTGATTCATCAAGCTAGTAGGTGAAGCATACTCCTTAAGCTAGTAGCTCTCTTCAAAAGTCTTGATGTTAGTCCTATTTGGTCGATCGTGTGCATCATCTGCCGTGAACTCAGCACTGAAGGCAATTGAATAGAATTGTTTCTCCATATTAATCTTCTTCTCCATCAATAGATGTACTCCAATTTGCTTGCACAAAAGTGTTAAAAGCCTCTTGAATCTTCTTTGACTA